TGAAGACCCACATGTGTGGGCGTGGCCTGCCAGGCCGCTGAAGGCTCGGCAGATCCGACAAGCCCAACGAGCGGCGGAGCACCATGCGGCAGGGCAGGTGACCAAGCCGGTGTTCAAGGCCCTTAACCGAGTGTGGTCGACTTTGCCGGAGGAAGCCAAAGAAGCGATCAGTAAGGCAGGCTTTGAGGTCAAGCCGAGCCCGCCCCCAGGCTTGCCGGCTTCCGGCAGGCAGCAGAGAGGAGGCACTGGCAAAGGCCGGGTCTCCTTTGCGGTTGAGGGCTCAGGAGATTCAGGGCAGGCTGAGACTGTGAAGTCGCTTTTTGCGTCGGCTTCCGACGCACAGCGCGAGCTTCTCGCACAGCTTGGGTTCGTTGAGCCTGAAGAGCAACCAATTGACCTGACGGCTTTGTGCAAGCAGCACATTAGCTCCCTGCCCGAGGACATCCGCAAATTTGTTGAGGAACCTCCTGAACGCCCGCCAACACCACAGGAGGTCATGAGCGAGAAAAGCCGACTCTTTAAAGTTGCAACGACCGACCTCCGGGACATCATCTTTAAGAAGTCGGCTTTGCAGCTTCGACTCAACAAGCACAAGGAGCAGTATGCCTCAATGTTGGAAGATATGCAAAGCATCAACGAGAAGCTTGATGCCAGGCAAAAGGAAGTCTCCTCGTTGCAGTTAGAGCTTCAGTCCTCAGTCAATGCGAGCCCTGCCCCAGAAGCGCTGCCTGATGCAGCTGAAGCTCTCGTCAAACAGGTAGAGGCAATGGAGGTTGATCAGATTGATGAATATCGCAAGCGCATTGTGCTAGCCTTTGATGAGGCTGCGAAGAGACGGCGCACAGATGCGCCGGACAACAAGCCTGCACCGCCCAGCCCTGCACCTCCTGAACAGGGGCCAGGCCAACAGGAGGCAAGCGAGGGAGCCAAGGCGAGGTCCCGCAGCAGGGGCCGCGGCACTCAGCAGGGCTAGGGGCTAGGGCACGGGGTTGAGGCTAGCTATGTTAGCTTTGGTAATGCTTTTTCACCTGACTGTAGCAGCGCTAGTGGACTGCATTACCTTGCGCAAGCGAAGCACCCAGCCCCGAAGTCCCCAGCTCGTCCTGTGCAGGATCAAGTCGGGCCTTTGAGCCATTCAGCCCCTGGGAGAGGGGATTTTGCAAGCGGTCTTGAGGCCCAGCTTGGTCCTGAGAGTGAATTTTTGGCCCAGAACACAGCCGAGGGCTTTGAAGGCCCTTGGAAAGTTTTCCGTCCCAAGCGTCGGCAGAGGAAACCTGCCTGCCCAGTTTTGAGGTCCTCACCTGGGCACCCGGAGAAAGGGCCATGCTTTGCCCACACGGCGTTTGAAGCCGCCCTGCCACCGGATGCCTGCGAGGCCAGTTTTGGCACTAAGAACAAGACGAGCCCACTGGCTTCCAGTTGGGATACTTCTTGTGACGGAAATTTGCCTAGCCAGCTCAGTCATGAGGGGATTTCGGAGAGCAGTTTTGCAACCCTTCCCCGCAATTTTGAACCGCGGTTTTTTCCTTGGAGTTTTGCGGAAGAACCAGTCAAAAAACGCAAACGAGTACGATCTAAACACACCAAGGGGTGTGCAGCACCGGCTCAGGAACTGTGGAAGCAGTCCCGGATAAGACTCAAGATGTGGAAACACCTTAAAGAAGTGCTGGACCAGCATTCTTGCATCCCTGAGGAAGAAGAAGCTACCCTCCTTGCCTTGGCTGAACTAGATGAGGTCAAGGACAATGAGGATGGGCTCGAAGGTTGGACTGTGTATCAGCTGCTGACGAAGGTTAGCGAGTGTGCCACTAGCGGGTTTGAGATTCTCGCCCAGGCCGTTGATGATATCATTGTAGGCCTCAGCTGTCGCAAATCCCGGACGATCCGTATCAGGTCCTCCAACCTCACGCAATGGCGACCTGAGACACAAAAGTGGATGCAGAGCCTGAGTGATGATGTGATTTTGGTGCAGGAAACGCACTTAACCAGCAAGGGCGTTGCTGAAGCATTGGCGGCCATGCACAAAGTTGGTTATGAGATGCTTGGGGGCGAAGCTGCTACCTCTGCGAAGCAAGGGACCAATGGCGGAGTTGCTTTGCTCTCCAAAAAGCACCTTAAGGTCCAGGCTCTGCACCATTTTACCGAGGAAGGNNTGTGGCTACTGTGCAGCCAAACTGAGAGTTAAAGGAGTGAGCCTTCTCCTCCTGAGCTTGTACCTCAAGAACTCCACGCCTATTCAGTGTCATCCCAACGCGGAAATTCTTGGGCGTCTAACTGCACTCCTGAAAGGCCACGTAGGTCAATGGATTGTGGCAGGAGATTTCAACGTCTCTCCAAATGAGCTGGCGGATACCAATATTGTCAGTGAGCTTGGTGGCCAAATCCTCTGCGCGGGAGAGCCTACAACCCATGGGGGCAGTGAGTTGGATTTTGTGATCACCAGCTCGGCCGTTGCCGGCCACACCTCGCTGCAACTCGATTGGAGTGCTCCTCACCGTCCTCATGCCAGTTTGTGTATCACACTGGAGATGCCTTGCCACCAAGACAAAGCGCTTCGCTTGCCTGGATTCCTTGTGAAGGACTCTGTTGAGGACGCTTCCCTTGAATTAAACCTCCCAGAGGTAGAAAGTCTCCAGGTTCTTGGACAGGATCTCTCGTCTGATGATATATCAAGGCGATGGGCAGCTATCTCCAAGTGGTGCCAGCAGGCCATGTATCCAGATGAGACGGAGCCCAGAGGTGGTTCCCTTGGCCTCCATCGGCTCCCTCAAGTTCCGGGACAGCCCTGTAAGCCCTACTCAACGCAAGCGGGCCTTTGGTTGAGAGTTGAGTCTTGGCTAAACGCAGTCACCAAGGCCAAGATTAAACTCAGCAAGAAAACCATCTCGGAAGTTCTTGAGCAGCTGGAATTCCATGCCAAGGAAGACAGTGAAGCCGACTGTTGCCGGGCTGAGATTCTCGCCCATCTCTTAGGCTCCGCTGTTATGAGCAAGGAGAATGAAGAATACGTACGAGGCTGCGTCAAACAAGCCCAGTCCGAGCATCTCGCTGAGGCAAAACAAACATACCAGAGCTGGCTGGAAGGAGCTCAGGTCAAAGGTATGCGCCCGCTGTACAAGGCAATCCGCTCTCATGAGCAAGTCCTGGTAAGGCCCTTTCGTGACAAGGAAGCGGCGCTTCGGCCGTATCTCAGGTACTACCAGTGGCAGGAGATTTGGAAAAGTCAGCCAAATCCGGTAGACCCGGTCGTTCCGGAATTGCTCAGCAGGGCAGTCGAGGAGGCAGCTAGCTTGCCGGCCATCACAGCTGCCAAGCTACAAACCAAATTTCACTGCCTTCCAGAGAAGGCTCCTGGCGTTGATGGGTGGAACAACCGTATGCTTAAACAATTGCCCCCTGGAGCGCTAGAGCCTCTCGCGCAATTCTTGAACCACATGGAAGCCACAGGCAAGGCACCAGGTCAATGGAGGGTGGTCAAGTTTGCTATGCTGGCAAAAAAGTCAAGCATCGAAAGACCTATCGGCCTGTGCGATGTGGTCTACAAGGCATGGCTACAGGTGAGATACTCCCTGGTACAGGCATGGATGAAACAATATGAGCAATGGGCCCCATGGGATGCGGCTAAGCCGGGGGTCACCTGCCTTTCTGTCTCCATCGCCAGAATTTTCAAGAGTGAAGTCGCTGTTGCTACAGGGCGCCACCGCGCCACGCTCTTTCTCGACCTCACCACTTTCTATGAAACGCTTGCCCACTCTAGGCTCATTGCCTCGGCACAGGAGCTGGCATTCCCGGCGAGCCTACTTAACATCGCTATTCAGATCTACCGCGGCGCACGCATCATTGATGCTGAGGGCACAATGAGCCCTGTCTGTTACACGGGGTGTGGTGTTGTCGCAGGTTGCCCTGTTGCTCCTGCCTTGAGTAAGCTCGCTCTTTACAGGCCTTGCAGAGCTGTGCAAAATACCGGTCTCTTGGCAGGGCTAGACACCTGGATAGACGATGTGTCGATGGACACCGAGGATGCAGATCCGCAGCGAGCAGCCCAAAAAATTGTGGCTTTATACAGAACCATCAGCGTTGAGCTTGACAACGCTGAACTGTTGATAAGCGCGTCAAAGTCTGCTTTCGTCTGTACGGATCGGCACACGCAGCACCGTCTGAGGCAGCTTCTGCTTCCAGATGATCCGCCAGTTCTGCATCTTGTCAAAGATTTAGGTGTGGATTCGGCGGGAGCCCGTAGACGCAGGGTCGCCACCAGTAATGCGCGCATCTCCAAGGCTTCGTGCAGGAGTGGCAAACTCACGCGGCTTCGTATTCCCAACCCCAAGAAACGAGCCCAAATCGCGGCGACCGGTGTTGAGACCGCGGCAACTTTCGGCCATCAGGGGCAAGGAATTTCGCCGAAGCGCATGAAAGTGCTCAGGGCAATCGCAGGAGGACATTATGGGAAGCTGTCCTTTGGCTCCCTTGATCTTATCTTCGACCTGTCCCATGTTGGATCCGGGGACCCTCTGCACAAGATTGTTCTTGAACACTGNNGCTTAAAGAGTGTGTCATGCGAAACCTCCCTGCTGCTGAGCTTGTTCGGCGGACTTGGGCGGTGTCCTGGGCTAAGGTCTCGCGTAGCCCGCAAAGGTGGACCATTGCAACAGGTCCAATCGGTGCAATGCAATGTTACTTGCTCGACATGGGTTTCGAAGCCCCCACGATGGACATCTGGAAGCGCGCAGATGGTGACATTGCTTTGAACTGGGGATCTCCCAGCGCAGGAAAGGAAGTAGGCTTCCTACTTCAAAAAGCCCTGCTTAAGGACAGGTGGGAGCGCATCGCCCTACAAGAAAATGCAGGAGGAGCGCAGGAAGGTATTGACTGGACGGTCCCACGCCAACTACTCAGAGAGTCGGCAAAGAGACCACTGGTCCAGTCGGGCTTGCGTATGTTGTTCCAAGGAGCGGTACGCCGGGCCAACCATGGTGGTGACGCCTTTTGCTGCAGGTGTGGTTTGCCAAACACCCTTCAGCATGTGTTGCACGACTGCATTAGGTGGGCACAGGTGGACATAGGACCAGATCCGGTCTGGAAGACACTTTACCCAGATGCACCTGAGTGCTTTGGTGTGCGGGGAATGGTTCCCAAGCAGTCCACTATGCGCCCTGCTCTCGCTCTTAGCCAGATGGCGGTGCGCAAGGAAGGCATTTTCACAGGTGAGTTTCTCCCTGGGGAAGCCATCTTTTTCGGTACCGACGCATCTGGTGGCCCTAGAGGACTGGATGCAAGACTCAGAGTGGTATCGTGGGCTGTGATTGCTGTCAGCATTCAAGGAGAGCCACATGCTTTGTCGCCGCCTGATTACAAATTTCGTTGGAAAAATGACTGGCACTTTGCAAATCGGCGCCACGGTTAATGAAGGAGAGGCCACTGCCCTTAACCAGCTTGCCAACTGGGCCAAGGAGCCAGTCAGGGTCGCGGTAGACAGCAAGGTAGCCATCCGCTGGTGCAAAACCCCAGATATTGAAGTTAAGATGCCGGCTGTTTGGACAGCACCGCAGGAGCAGAGAGATCTCCTTCAAACTTCTTGGACCAAAGGACACCTCAGCGCTGACCAGCACAACCAGCGCTTCGGTCACAACATGGCTTGGGCGTGGGCTGCGAATCTGGAGGCTGACAAAGAATGTAGTGCACGCAGCAAAGAGGTCTTCTCTTCTGCTGCAGCAGCCAGAACAGACTCCATAGATAAAGCCGCCAGGGCGAAATGCAGTTGGTTGGGTGCTCGGTGTTCGTTTATCCTGGCACATGACCCGGTACCTAAGGTTAAAGACCTTAAATTTCAGACAGTACCTGTGGTTAACAAGGCTGTCCGGAAACAAGGCCCCAACAAGCGTCAGTTGCTTCTCGCTGCCACGGAAGCTGATAACCCGCTTGTCGGCCACAAGTGGGTCATCACCACTAATGCAAAGAATCTTTGCATTAAATGTGAGACATGCACCCTTTACGCGCAACAGGTTGACCCAGCCCCTGTGCTGGACTTTGTGCTGCAACATCCCTGCAGGGATCGGCCGGCCACACCTGGGCCGGAATCCAACATTGACCCTTCACACTGCATTGTCAATTTAGGGC